GGGCCGCAGGGACATGCCGGTTGCTTCTGGTCACTTCGCGGAGCCAACCAGACTTAATGGCCTGGCAACCCGCCCCCTGCGGCGGAGCAAGCCAGCGCTCGCGGCTCCAGTCCAGCGGGGGGGAGGAAGGGGGGGGGGGGGCGTCGAGGCTCAGGGCCTCTGGCCTGCAGTGTGGAGACTTGCTGCAGGCCGGCTGAAATGAAGCAGAGGCTGGATCCAGCCTGCAGGTTCCCCACCCCTGAACTATAAGTTAACACAGAAACCGAGCCGAGGTCCATCTAGCCTGGTTGCCCACACTACATGCAGGAGGCAGTTCTGGGACGATCTGCTTTGGGGGGAAGGGGGGGTGTCTCTGACCCCGTTAGAGGCTGGCTGATGCCTGGGACCGGGATGGTTTCCAGTGTTCACTGTCCAGCCCAGGATCTGCCAGCTGCTAAGCTCTCGGCCCAGTGACAGCTGTGGCAGTAAAGTTTCACAGGCCAGTCGCACATCACCTTCCCAGAGGTTTCCTACTTCTCCCAGGGCTACCCAGGTCAAAAGCAGATTGACGAGGACACTCGTTTGAGGGCTGGGACAGGCAACGTTAGCCCCAGTCCAGCAACCATGCGAAGTTTGGGATTCTCATGCCCCACCAAAGCTGGAAGTGTCTAGTGCGGGCCCCACTGCAGCTGGGAATTCTCCCCTCGCATGGGGGGGGGACGGAAAGCACCGGTGTACAGCCCCTTACAGCACCCCACAGAGCCCTAGGAAGCTCGCCAGAGGACCCCTGGAGACCCAGTTCTCCTGCCCTGCTCCATCCCAAGAGCGGAACGGCTGTAGGGTCACTTGGACCCCTAGCCTCCCATCTGGCCTCACAGAGCTCCACTTAGTGGATTTCAGGGCAGGGATTTGTCAGGAGCAGGTATTGGGCAGGGTAGTGCCCCGTTGGATCTCCCAGGCCCTAGAGGCTGCAAGAGTCATTCAACACATGGGGTGTGGGGAGGTGACTCGCAAACTAGTGCCAGCAAAGCCACGAGCGGTCTACGGGGCAGTACTGCACGAGCTCCCTTCCCGCCCCCGGTCTTTTTGAAATCTAGACGTGGCAAGCAGAAGCGTTGGTGCAGGCATCAGTCGCCGTCCCGGCCTGCCCAGCGCTGCCCTGCCCAGACCCCAAGGGCCATTTCCACAGTGCTGGGACAGCCCAACTCCGGCACCAGGCCCCTCCGACTGGTCCTGCTGGGGCTGCAGCTTGGGCTGGGGCTACCTCCTTCACCCAGCACCTCACCTGTCCTCGGGCTCCTCTCCCACCTCCTGCTCCCTGCAGCTCAGGCTGCCAAGTTCCCCCAGGCCCTGGTCTGACTGCCCCCTGCCCACCCTCCCCTGCCCCACCTGAACCTCCCCCAGCCCACAACTGCACCTGGCCCACCCCATGGGCCCCCCAGGCTGCTCCTCTCACCAACACCACTTCTCAAAACGGCCCCCTCCCCACTCCCAGTTCTCCTCCCCCCAAGCAGCCCCCTCTGCCAACCTGCACTGGGACCCAAGAGGTTAAGGGCGAGGGCTGCTGGGAGTCTTCCAGGTGGGGGTGGGGGAGGAGAGGCAGGCCAGGCCATGCTGTTGCCACTTCAGTCTGGGCCACGGGCCAACACCGCCACAAACAAAACAAAGCCACAAGCTGGAGCCAGAGCAAGCACCAGCCACTCCCTGCAGGGAGGGCCCGGTGCAGCCGCTTAGATGCCAGCCCCAGCATTACTGCCGGCTCCCTGCTCCAGGCACTAGCCCGGGGGGCACCAAGTGCTCAGGGGGGAACTAGCTGCCTGATGGTCTCCCTTGGGCCATTTGGGTCTTGGCCAAAAGGATCCTTCCACCTCCACCACGGAGCGTGCAACAGAGCCAGCCCCAGGCCTCCGAGGAGCCCTGGAGCTCGCAGGCCAGAGACCCGCTGCGGGGCGCTGCTAGGAGACGGCTGCTCCACCCCGAGCCGCGCAGCAGCTGCCAGGCGCGCCTCACCTCCACCAGATGGTTGTCTGGTCCATACAGCTCCTTGTCCAGTTCGATGACGAGGCTCTTGAAAAAGGAGGAGAACTTCCTCTTCTGCTTACTCGGCTGAAAGAGAGGAACCGCTGCAGTGCTCGGCCTGCCCTTCCCCAGGGCCGGGGGGCAGGAGTGCAGCAGGCCATAACCAGAGCCCCAGTCCTCAGACAGACAGGGCGGGGGCTACACAGGCAGCGCCTCAGCTGGCTGCTCGGAGATGGTTGTGGGCACATCAGAGCTGCCATTGGTGCTGTGGGGCCCAGGGAGCACAGAGCTGTGCCAGGCGGGGCACAGGGAAGGGGGGCTGGGAGTTTGCAATGTCAGGCTGTGGAAGGGGTGCGATGGAGAGGCCCTATACAGCTAGAAGTGAAGGGCCACTCTGGGGGAGGGCTTGGGAACCTGTTCGCACATGGGGGGGGCAAGGGGGTGCTGCCGGTGCTGTGGGGCTCTGCACAGAGTACCAGGTGCCGTGTGGACATACACAGCCTCCCTCACAGCCAGGTCAGACAGGCCAAGTCCAGAACCCAGGCAGGGCCAGCGCTGCTCCCTGTCCCGTGGCTATCAAAGGGAAGATCTGGGCTTTGAGAGGCTCCGAACATGGGTGGGGATAGACGGGGGCTGAACAGCTGCAGGGACAGTTCTCAGCTCCCCCGTGCGGCACCAGCCGGCGTGGAGGCTGCCAGGCTGGCAGTCAGTGTCCTTACATCCTCCAGGAGCTTGCCTTCCACGCGCAGCTCCCACGAGGCCACGCGCTCGCTGCCGTCCCCCTCCTCCTTGCCCGGGGTGAAGGTGTTGGAGATGTAAATCCGCAGCTTCCGCTTTTGCTGCAGTGCGGAGAGAAACAGAGGAACACTCCAGATTCAGCGCGCACCCAGCACCCACCCCAGAGCCTCTCCCTACAGAGACCCGCTGCCGGGAGGGGGAGCACCATCTCCCATAGCGATCGGGGAGGGGGCAGGAGAGAAACATGCACACAGGAACCGACAAGGCCAGATCTTGGCTGCAATCTGCCCGTGCTGCCCCCGAGCTGCACAAAGGTCTATGAAACTGCTGCTCGGCTGCACGCTCCTCTTGGTCCCAGCTGAAAGACTGGAGAGCCACCTCCTCCATGCGTATCTCGGGAAGGCCCGGGAGCGAGGTGGGCCCCATTCAGATGGGGCAGCTCCATCCCCTATTTTTGCATGTGGCTCATGGCTATATGTCCTTCCAGCAAGAGTTGGATCACAAGCAGGGGCTGCCCAAGCAGGGGCTGTCACGCACCGTGAGGGGTTTCTTGATGGCCTCCTGGATTTCCATTCTCTTCCGGGCAATGGTCTGATCCAGCTTGCGCTCAAAGGCGAGAAGGTCCATGTAGGCCTGAGACTCTGGGACCAGCTCCCGGATCTACCAAACAGAGAGCCCATCACAGAACCGCCTGCAGGGACGGCTTGCCGGTCTCCGCCCTCACCAGGCCATGCACACCTTACGGCTCGCTCCCCCCATACCCTACAGCAGCAGCTCCCAAGTCACGGTTCTGAGCCCAGAGTCACTAGCACCACGGAGCCCGGCAAGGTGGGAGCCCAGCTCGGCCTTGATGCCATTTGGAAAAGCTGTCCAGTACCCCAGACAACCCCCGGAACACCCTGAAATCCCCACCCCAGCTGAATGGGCCTGACCACCATGACCTCAAGACCCCAGCTCACATCCCCACCCACAATGCCTGGCGTGTCTGGAGCTAGGTATCCCAGCTGTTCAGGCCCTGACTAACACTCTACAGCTGTGCGGCTCGCCCCAGCAGGCGGGCGCGAAGACAAACCTTCCCCACAGTCCATCTCTGAGGATGTCATTTCGTTCCGGAGTAGCGTCACTGCACGCGTGCCCAGCATGGGCCTGCAATGCACCTGCCAAGCACTCCAAGCCGGGCGCTCGCCAACCAGGGCTGGCGGCACGTTCCTGCCCCCATGGGCACTGCCATCCAGCTCGGAGCCTGCCTCTCCACTCTGCAGCCAGCCTAGGGCTCAAGCCCAGCAGGTGATCTCGCGCCGGCGAGGGACGGGCACACCAAACGCCCCAGTGGAATGGCCTTTGTCAACAAGACCAGAGGCTCAGAATGGGAACAACTGCTCAGGAGCTCCAGCAGGGCTCTCGAAACCAAGGCACTGTTACTCTCCCCCAGCCCCACCCTGGGTAGCCCCTAACCCATGGGCATCATCTTCCCCTGCTGCTATAGAGGGCACTTCACCTCCCCTCATCTCCACCCCACTGAGGGTGCCTCAAGACCCCGGGCACATAACAAAGAGACACCATTCCTCCTACAATTCCCATTCCACTGGCATGAGTACACCCCACTCCGGGGCTGGGGCCAGGTACCCTCGCTCAGCAGGGAAGCAGCACTTACCCTCTGTGGTAGGACCTTGTCCGCCATCTTCCTTCTTTTCAGCCTGCAAGCAGCACACAGAACGGCAGCATTAGGTGAGCGCAGGCTGAACTCCTGAGCAGCTTCTAACACCCACGTCAGACCAGAGACCCATGCACTGGGGCTCTGCAGACACACACACACACACCACCCTGCCCCTCAGCACCGCCTCATTTGTACCACAGCTTGTTATTGGTCACAGTGGCCTGCAACTCCAGTAACTCCAGCCTGGAACTCAGAGGGTCACAGCAACTCTCGAATCATGGAGAGTCAGCCACTGAGCCAGCCCTGAATCCCCTGGAGACTCCACTCCTTGCTGAGGGCACGAGAATCAACCAAACAGATCTGGAGTTTCTAGGCCACGCCGTCTCCCCGGCTCAGGAGTGCACAAGACACATCACAGATTGGTCAGTCAAGACAGCTCATAACAGATGGGGGTTGTCACCTGAATACCCCCAAGCTTGGGTCTAGCTACCTCTATGCACCACAGCAGCGCTCTGGCTAACAGCAAGGGGCAGGATGGGGAGAGCGGGGAGTATCCCAGCACCTCCCAACATCCTCCAAGAGCTGGACGTTTCTGCTGAGGCAATCAGCAAAGCAGTTATTGTGGACACTTGAACTGTCCTCGTTAGGTTTCAGAGTTCGGATCGTGCTGCCCTGAGGCACCTCGGACCCTATGATGATGCCCTCTCTGCTGACCGTCAGCTGGTGGCTGAGAGGGGAGGTCAGCACAGGAAGCCGGGAGGTCCAGTGTTTGGAGCTGTAGCTCCGACAAATGTACCTGCCCCTCTGGGAAGGAGGCAGAGCGAGGGAGAGGGCTTCTGGACATTTGCCTCCTGCACTACCTCAGGCTGCTGGGGAGCCCTGGCCCAGTAGATCTGCAGCGAATAAGGGAGCAGAGCCAGTGCAGTGTATGCCATGGGTCAGAGCGCAATGCCATGCTGCCCATCCTTCAGAGGCCGAGCTCATGCCATGGGAAGGGGTCCCTCGCTCCACCTTTCCTCCCCCCAGCCCAGGCCTGGCTCGTGCTGTGGAGATCACAGGAGGCAAACGAAGGACTCTCAGGGGTTTTCCCCCCAGAAACAGGGACACTGCCGGCAATCGGCTGCTTTCACGCCCCTCATTCAGCCAGCTGCATTTCCCCATTTATCTAAATTCCACCTCTGCTCAGGAACCTCACCCAGACGCACAGAGCCAGTGATTCCCCTGAGTGAGTCTCTTCCCCAGATGCAGGCAGCCAGCTCTGTGACAGCATGGAAACCTGCATCGATTCCCAGAGCACGGGAGCTCTGGCCTCATACAGTACAGCTGGGCTCTGCTAAAGGGAGCTGCAAAGCTGGGGTAATGCACCTTCATTCAGGTTTTGAAATAACCCGGGACCCAGGGCGCAGCCTCCATTAGACCCAGGAGAACCTGCCCTGGGGCCCCTGAGAAACAATCAACAAACCCTCATGAAAACAGAAACAGAGCAAAGCGATTAACAGCACTGTAAACAACTCCGGATGTGCTGGCACGGCCGCTCGGCTCGAAAGGAGGAAGAGGCCAAGTGAACGCTGCGTGCCAGAAAGCTGGCTGCCACAGGCCCTGACTTCGGCTACCAGCCTCCAGCCCCACAGCAATCCCCAGAGGGCTTCCCTCTGCTCAGCCAGCAGCGTGGCAGGGGCGTGGGGCAGACACACCATAAAGCCCCTCTCAGGAGAGATCCAGAGCTCCCATTGCGTCTGGGCGCCTGCCAGAGCAGGGTGACAGCAGGAGCCCCACTCACACCAACATTGCTTTTGTGGTGTTTGGTGGGGGGGGGGGGGGGGGACAGTTCTCAGAGCCCTGTGCCGCTCAGGGGGCGATTAGCAAGTGACAGGCACTGGATCCCCACAGCTCCCCTGCAAGGGCACTAGTTGGGGAACTGGAGGCAGAGGTAGATCAGGGACGTGCTCCCAGCCTGGAGCCCTTGGCAGAACTGGGGTTGGTTGGGATGCAGCAGCCCAGGCCAGAGCCAGTGCTCTAACCACCCCGGCCCCATCCCGAGGTCAGGCACGTCGTCACCAGCACGGACACCCTTACCCTCGCCTTTGGCTTGCCAGGGGGGGCTGTGCCTGCGGAGCCAGCAGGCGCTTTCGAAAGGGATCCATGATCGACTGTGGCATTCCTGGTCGCATCGGAGAGGCTGCTCCATAGGGGGGTCCTGACGGGGATCCCACCTGCAATCCGGTCATGGGCATCCGGCTCCCCGGCGGCATCCCAGGACGCTAGCAGGAGAGAAGGAGACACGGTTACCTTGGCAAGCCTCCTGCTGGGCTCTAGCAGGCCACATGGCCCAGGAGTCCGTGCCCCCAGCTGCTTGCGGCACAGAATGGAACATGCAGGCGCTGGGAGAACACCCCACTCCATGCACTCACGGGGGAGGGCAACGGCGCAGAGCAGCGGCACAGCCAAAAAGTGACGGAGGAGGGGCAGTTGCACAAGGTGAGGGCTCCTCGACATTCGGGTTTGACACAGAGATAACTGGTTGCTAACCAACTCCTAAGGCTAGACTGGAGACACTGCAAACACCTGTGTTTTACCCTAGGCTGAGCACAGAGCGCTGGCCCCTGCTGAGCGGCAGTGTGGGGGGAGCACGGAGCACAGTCAATCCCTGAGCTGCAGCATGGGAGGGGGGCGCAGAGCGGAGTCACGCACGGAGAGGCAGTGTGGGGGGGCCCGGCTCGGGGGCCCAGAGAGATGTCACTTGCTGAGATGAGGGAGCACAGCGACATCACCTGCTGAGCTGCAGTGTGGAGGGAGGGGCCATGCTGGCTGAGCTGTGGAGGGGTCACAAAGTGCCATCATGGGTTGAGCTGCAGCTTTTGCTACTCTAGAAAATACAAGCAGGGAAGTGGAACAGAAAATGCAGAAGTGCAAGCCGCAGGGAGCACACACACCCCGCTAACGGACTTGTCAGTACATGGGAAACCCCCTTTGGGGTCTAGGCAGGTTCCACCACAGGCCTGGCCACTTTCACTTCCCTCTGGGAGCAGGAGGGGGACACAGGCTCAGCACAGAACGAGGCTCCCTGCTCTGGGGCAGGCCCTCCCTGCAGTAACTAGGCCACCACTCTGATTCCCTACCACACGGGAGCAAGGGCACCACGGGAGGCGCACCCCGAGACCCATATCGCACTCGGCAGCTACTGGTGGGAGGTTCTGGCTCCAGACTGGCCTGGTGCCTGCCCGAGTGCTGCAGCGCCTTGGCTCAGGGCACACAACGGCCTCTTAAAGCATGGCAATGGCCTTCACATGGCTCTGGTTATGAGTGCCACGTGCCCAGAGGGGGTGTGCATGGCTCAGGGCGGGTGCTCTCTCCTGACAGCCCCAGGACCAGGGAAAATCCAGTTCCCTAACGGCCCATTGGCCCACTTACACGGACCTTTAGGCAGGCGGTATCTGATTGGGTGACAAAGGCTGCACGGGGGCCAGGGGGGTTTGTGGGACATTAAATGAGCCCTGACGACCCCTCAGGAGGTACGAGCTTGATCCTGTGACCTCTGGCCTCATCTCGCGATCCCTCCGGGGATCCAGCAGCGCATTCCTTGGAGGCTGTAGGCCCACAACTTCACGCCTCAACCTCCTCTCCAGGATCCACCTCCACACAGAGCCGGGCCCAGACAGGTACGATCCAGGGCACCCAGAGCAAACCGGAGCATTGCATGCTGGGACCTGCAGCCTCTGCCGCAGCACTGCTGCGCTGCACACAAGGCTGCAATTGACCTCACGTTACCTACATGAAGTGCAGCCCTTGGGTGCTTGACAAACTGCCAGCGTGGCCGCTGGCTGGCCAACGCCGCAGGGCTCCCTGGTTTGTTTGGTCTGCTTTCCGAGATCTCAAGAACGGGCTCCCTAATGCCAAGGAGGTTGTGTGGTTGGGAAAGTCACCAAGCCAGCAGGACAACATTTCATTGCTGCCGGCAGCTCCAGAACATGCCGAGACAACACCCACTGTTCCCCGGCTGCTTTCGCTTGGGCCCTGCATGTGACGGATGGGGTTGGAGAGCACAGAAGAAAAACGGACTGAGCCGTTGTGTGGGGAGCGCTCCCTCCGAGGGAGAAGAGCTCGGGGAACTGACTCAACGTAAGAGCCGCGTAACGGACAAGCAGCAGTGCTGCCCAGGGGCTCAACAGGAGCAGCTGCCGGCCCTGATGCGTAAGGCACCTGGCACACTCGGCCACCAAACACAAAACCTCCTGAACAGGGATTTCTGCTCAGCCTGCCGCAAACACAACGAAACCCTGCAATAAAACAGAGAGGGACCCGTTTGGCTGGGCTGCGGCTCTCTGTTCCAGATGTGCACTCTGGAATGACCGTCGGGGTGCACATCACGGCCAGGTTTTGTACAGCTCTACATGACTACATGAGCTTGTCTGCATATAGCCAGAACTTCAGCTTGACGTCGGGTGATGTAGCGAGCGTTGGAGAGCCCTAGTTACTAAAGCCCTCTCCAGAACAAGCTTCCTACACACACTGCCCAAGGGGGTGAGACACTGATTCTAGGCATAACAGGAGCAGTTCAGTCTCCATGGCTCACACAGTTGTCGACCACTCGGCTGAGTTCACCAATTAGCATAAAGTCTGGGTTTAGACTGGGGGAACGGGAACTGAGTCCCACCCAACTCATCTCCTAGAGAAGCCAAAGAGCCATTAAACAGGCACAGTTTCTACTCCCTGCTCAGCTGGGCTGGATGCAAACTGGTGAGCTACAAGTGAAAGGTTCTGACAGCTGCTAGATATGCTCGGAGGCCTCCAGTTTCTCAACAAGTGCCAACTTCACAGGAGGGCCTATAAAAATATTGTAAAAGTCCACATTTAAACACGTTAAGGTTGCAAAGTCAGGCACCCAAAGTTAGCAAGTGCCAAGATTAAGGCTGCCCAGGCAATCGTAATTCAACCCACATGTAATTACAGACTTGTCACAATGCACAATCACATTTTTTTCCCCCTACATGGGCTGTCAACACACTGGAACCCAGGACCTTCAGATCCACAGTATAGACCTCCTCCACTTGAGCTAAAGGAGCAACTAGTAGCAGAAGTAGGCTGCTGCCCAACGGGCCATTACCGTTTCACAAACAGTTGTATAATCTCCTGGCAAACTGTCATGGTGCCCTCTTGGGGCTGGTCCACAGAAGAGTATCAGAATTCCTAGGTTATATTAATGGCTCTAGAGTAGAGCATGGCACAGGGTTACAGACAGGATAGACAAGCACATAAATGTGGCACATTCATTCCGACAGGCACTGTGGCAAATGGATAAGCCTTAGTTCTATCTTACTAGAGATCTGGGCTCTATTCATAGCGCTTCCTGAAGTCACCTTGGGCAATCTTCCAGTTACCCCCATTGTGAAGTATGGGGAATTCCAGTCGCCTAGATTCTAACATTTAATTTCAACAATTCCACCTATCACTGAAAACACAGAACAGAATGAATTCTAAGAGGCAATGCTTGTGTAGAACTTGCACAAAATTAATTCATTTTGCTTCCGATTTCCTTTGTTGGCACTACCCAGCAAGCTGAACAATATTCCCAAACGGAGAGCAATCACCAACTAGATTGTTAAACGAAATGCTTATCATTTTACCTGGTAAATAAAATGAAGCTGTTCTGGGGACATTTATGGGCCTTGTTTGGTGGTTTCCAGCTCCCCCAGTTGGGCCCACTCCTCGCACATTCCCTCACAGCACTGTTGCCGCTTTCTCGCTCTGCTCCCTCCCCATATTTCTTAATTTCTCTTCCCCCATTTTTCCTCTCCTGCCCTGCTAACTTCCCCTCTTTCCCCCAACTTGCTTAAAGGACAGATGCTGCGGAGGATGGAGAGCAGCCAGCCGCTGATGGCTCTTGTGACTGAGGTGGTGCTGTAGGGGGGGAAAAGGCAAGAGAAGCTGGAGCCAGTGGCCCCATCTTAAAGCGCATCTCTGCTCTGATAAGCAACAACGTCAAGATGGCATCGTCAACAGATCCACACACAACCCCCCACGCGGGCACTGAAATCAGATCTGCTGGCTTTAGAGACACAAATCAGTTTTACTGCTTTTTACTCCGGATTGCCCTACGCAGTCCGCACAGGCAGGAATCTATTCCTTCTTGGACATCACCACCACAAAACGTTTCCCTCGTTCCAGTCAGTTCCACTTGCACAAGCCCAACCGCCCCCGAGCGCTCTCAGTTCCTTCTTGCCGGCCAGCTCTGATGCAGAGGGGTAGGAGGGCGGGCCGTGGAATGGACATGTGCAACACATCTTGAATAACAAGTTACAAAAGGTTAGTAACCGTTTTTTCTTTTCGAGTGATTGCACATGTGCATTCCTCTTTCAGTGACTCACAAGCCGTAATGTGGGAGAAGGGATCGGAGTTCACGTGCACACAGACTGGAGTACAACTCGTCCAAATTTAGCATCGTCTCTGGAATACTGAGGAAGGGCATAAGGGGATGCGAAGGTGTGAACTGAAGACCAGCCGCTGCTCTACGAAGGTCCTGGTTAGGGACTTGCACAAGGAATGCCGTTGTGGCTGCCTGTGATCTTGTGGGACGTGCTATCGGTCTCCCTGGCAGTGAAACGCCTGCCAGGTTATAAACATGAGTGCAGGAAGTTCCAAGATGAAATTCTTTGCAAAGGGAGCGGGAGACCCTTCATTCTGTCTGCTATGGCCACAAGTAGTTGGGCTGACAAACAAAACTGTTTAGTCCTGTCTATGTAGAAAGTCAACGCTCTTCTGACACCGGAGCTGTGCAAACACTGCTCCTCTCTATTGGCCTGTGGTTCTGGGTAAAACGCAGGTAAGTAAACTGACAGGTTAATATGAAAATTAGATACCATTTTAGAGAGACATCTCGGAGGAGGGTGCAAGTACACCTTGTCCTTAAAGATCGTATAAGGCAGTTTGGCCCCCCTCCTGTAGCTACCCAGAAAGCTTTCTGGCTGAGGCTGCAGGGTACCATCCCAAAGACTTCAGAGTGGTCCTAGAGCCCCTCAAGCCATGGAGCTTAGACTCAGTTTGCTGCAAAAACAGCAACGCCACTTCCAAGGGCAGGTGCCATAAAGTCTGTTGGACCTCTTGGGGAAGCCCCGTGGCTTGCAGCCAAGAGCTCCCAGGTGCGGCCACTGCAGAAGCCATGGACCTAGCCGCCGCGTCTGCTGCATCCAGCGCAGCCTACAGAAAACATCTCGCTACAGATTTCCCCTCCTCAACTGAGGAGAACTCCCACCTAGCGTCTCCA